GCACTTGACTGCTAACCAGAAGGCTGGTGGTTCAAACCCACCAGCCACTCCTTGGAAGGAAGGTTGGGCAATCTACTTCCGTAGTGATACTGTCTTGGAAACCCAAGGAGGGGCCTCTATGAGTCGAGTCAGACTTGATGGCAAGTAACAACAACATGATCGACTTACCTTGTTGGCATTGCTTTATCTGGAAGCTGCTGAGGATGCATATGTACAACTGAAAGACACAATGGGGACGTGACAATAGACATGTGCATTTTTTTAATTAAGAATACAAGGAGGTAAGATAACATATTTAAAAATAAATGCCTTAACAGAGGTTAAAATTAAATAAATATATTGAAAGAGAGTAATCTTCACTTTTTATTTCTCATTAATAATTATTTGCAAGCATAGTCTCTGAGAATGCCATCATACTAGATTATATTAACCACTTGAATATTAAATACAGGTATCTGATATCAGAAGGAGTAGGCTTTAATCTCTCCTCTACCTCCGTAAATTTCCTTTCCCCATTTCTTCCCTCGGTGTTCAGATTTTGTTCTCTTGCAGATCCCTGTGGCTTTGTTTCATTGCCTGTGTCACTTCTGCTGTTCAGGCACGGCATGCAACTCTTTTAGTATGCACAGTGCTTGGCCCTAATGCAAATTCAGTAACTAGTTAGAGTCTGAATTTTAGGATACCTCAGGGATATTTTCATAATACCTTGCAAGATCAGGGACTGAATTGTCCATTTGATTTGTTGTATTACAATTACCAATCTTGTACTAAGCTGAGTAGTCATTCATTAAAAAATTGTTAGATGAATAAATGGAATCTTCTTTTTCCTTTCCAAAACTGAGTTAATTCTCCATTAAATAGAAATGAACTTGGAGTTAAAACATCTTTAATCTAGGGTTAAAATTCCCCAATGTTTTATTTTATTGGTTTATGTATTTTTTCCCAATAAAGACATCAATTTTTCTCATAGCAGGCTTCACCAGTGACCTAGATAATGTCAATTTTTTTTCTCTTTTCTATTTTTTTTACTTTCCATCACCATTCATCAATAAATCTTTTTGTAATCTTAATGAAATTTGAATATTTATCTCAACATTACATTAGAAATATATTTTCTAAATATTTTTCAAAACACTAAGTCATTAATATCTTTTGTTGAATCCTTTCTTAAGAATTATGTTTTAAGCAGTTTCCTGGTCCTAATTAACAGTAGTGTTTTGATGTAGTGGTGGTGTTATGCCTAAGGCATTTGAGTGCTAACCAAAAGGCTGGTAGTTCAACCCCACCAGTCACTCCTTGGAAAGAAGGTTGGGCAATCTACTTCCATAGTGATACTGCCCCAGAAACCCAAGGAGAGGTCGCTATAAGTTAGATCCGACTCAACGGCAATGATTTTGTTTTTTAGTTTTGGTATAAAGGAAATACGTTGGCAAAAAGATCTTTAAAAAAAAATCATGTTCCTTTTTTTAAGAATATCCTTATTTTTTGAAATATGTTTTGAATTTGAACATCAGCTTTGTGTATTTTTGAATTATGATGTATATTTACATGTTAATATGAAACCCTTTCTCTATTGTTTCTTTTGCTATCTAAAAGCATCTGAGTCAGGACCTGGAGGACTCATCACGCTCTTCAACACAAGGAAAATTTAACCGAGAGCAATTTTACAAGTTTATCATTTTCCCTGGCAAGTGGATTAAAGTCTGGTATGATCGACTTACCTTGATGGCATTACTTGATCGGTAAGCTGATAAGCATGCAAACTTACAGCCAAAAGACACAATGGGGACATGGCAATATACATGTGCATGCTTTGAAAAAGAGAAATAATACTTGCTGAGGTTCCCTGGAATGCTTTCAAAGTATGGATTGTGGTGCAAACCCGAATCAGTAAGATCTTGAAAATTTAGCAAATTTATTTGCAATTTAGCAAATAAAATAGGAGACATGAATATTAGATCACATGATTTAGATTTAAGGTTAACTTTTGAGACAATATTATGCCTTGGTCTACTCTCAGCTTACCACACAGGTGAGATATTTTTGTAGGAAAGCTTGAGACTCCCATACTGGAGCTGATAGCCTGACCAGACTGGGTGTGGGCATGGGCAGAAGAGGGTAAGATGAAGTGGAATGATTGTTAGTTATTCCCTGGGCAATGTGAATTATGATTTCTCACTCCTACTTGATGTACACTGGTTTGGAAAATGGAAAGCCATTAAACTCTTTCACTTTTCTTTAATTCCTCTTAACATACTCTCTCAAGATAAAATGGTGAGTTAGAGATGTGATTACTGGGTAAGAGGGGGTTAAGGTTGGTTAAGGCATGGTAGTGGTGTGGATTGTATGAGACTTCCCATTTCTATCCTTCCCTACCTGAAGCTGTGCACAGGACAATATTACCTTCAAGGGCCATATAATTCTGACTAGAGTCTTGATTTGAAAATCCAAGATACTGTTACAAATGCTATCATCAGCAGATGTTGGTTGTTCATAGTTAAATGCCAGCCACTGGGGTAGTGAAAAGGCTGGTGCCTGCCTTGCTGTGGTTGCCCACCTCCCATGAGTACTTATAGTAACACCTTAAATGATGTGATAGTAATAAAACAAGTGTATTACTTGTTATGGTAATGTCTTAATTGATGTGATCACATATTTAAAAAGGATGGCCTAGTACAGACAACAAATATGAACCCTTTTGCATATACAGTACTGAGTTGTCAGTGAAAGCAAACATGGTATATGGACAGATAGATAGGTGAACAAGCTAAACAATTAGTATGTCTAAATGGGGAGTGTATCCAAGATCATATATAGGGTTGGCAGACAATGG